CAATTGCGTCCTACTATTATTCGACCAGAAGGAACTTGATCAAGGGATTCGCAAATGGATAGAGGACGGGCAAGACATTGCCGACCCAGCCAGTTCTGTCTACTACCTTGTCTTTGCCATCGGCGCGCAAACAGGACCTGAAGATAAAGATGATCTCGCCGAGACCTTGTTCAATTACGCTCGATACCTGACAGTCGACACTTTGGTAGAAGAGCCAGGCATCATCACTATTCAAGCCTTGGTTCTTATTGCGATGTATCTTTTGGGTGCATCGCGTCGCAACGCAGCCTTCATGTACCTTGGAATGGGCGTGCGAGCCGCGTATGCAATTGGACTACACCGCCATGATATATCCTCTCTATTTTCACAAACAGAGGGTCGCGCAAGGGAACAGCTCTGGAAAGGCATACGCATCCTCGACTTGTTCATGAGCGCGTCTCTTGGTCGACCTCCATCAACATCTGAGCTGCGCGATACGACAAGTTCCCAGAATTACTCCGCTTGCAACGACTTATCAATGATCTTTGAGTCTATTCTTACCGACGTATACGCCAAGAGGATGATCTCTCCTGAGATACTGGATCGCATCAGTAAGCATATGCGAAGATGGACTTTGCAATGTAGTGAAGGGTTGGCTGTGGACGGTATTGAGTCGGAAGACTTGGTTCGTGACACAGATGGAAATCAACAACCTAATATCGGTATCATGCACCTGAAGCTGACTGGACATTGGACTGTCATGCTACTGTCACTCCCATTTCTACACAAGGCGGTTTCTCAACACGTTGAAGAAACAGAGCAATCTTCGAACAGGACTACCAAACGCGCGTCCTCATCAAACCAGGTACTTGTGCATTCCTGTCTGGAATCAGCCGTGCGAACAGTCGACCTGCTGCAAACCCTCTTCAAAACAGGCACTATACCGAAGCGATTACCAATAGTAGGAAATTCAGCATTTGTGTCTGGGCTGGTACTTGGAGCAGCCATATTCGGTGACTTCGATAACTCCTTCCCGCTTGAAAAGAGTCTACATGCAGCAAGAGGTGTTCTTGAGCGTCTCGCCCGCTACGATGCTGTTTCAAAACGTCATCTAATGATCCTGGACCATCTCCAAGGTGCATGCGATATCTATATGGACAACCGAGCCAGACTGCGCATGGAACGTCAAGGCCATCTTGTCAACGGCCTCTTCGGAAGTATCCATACCATTGGAAAATCGCCACTGAGAAATTCTCAACTTGGCGAGGTCAACTTCCGAATATCGTCAACCGAGGGGCTTCAAACGCAACCTCAGACGCCTAGACCTGGGCAGGCATTAAACCAAGAAATTACAGATGAGCAACAAGGATTCACTATGGAGGGGGGTCAGGTGGACTTTGATGTTGAGGGGGCAACTGATGCTTTCCTGGGTATCTCTCCGAATATGCTCTGGTTCGACTCTTTTGATACGACGATGTCGCTATTTCCAATTGTTGATACACAAATAATGGGCGAGGATATAACATGATTTACGACACTAAGGCGTGACAAAAATGGAATTCTATTCGGTCTTTTTTAATGCAGATAGCAAGGATGAAAAGCGCTTTACATGGTATCTGGTAGGGCGACCCGCACTTTCGGACATCCGAAGGGCGCGATAGCTTCATCAGGCTTACAAATCTATATTTAATTATGTGCCATTGGTTTACCAGATATTAAATCCGGATAATATTGGACACGGTTAGCTAATCAGCTCTTTCGTGCTTAACCTTACATGAATCCTTCATTTATCACATAACGTTGTTCAATTGTGATCGGTGGAGATATTAAAATCCGCTCATCGCCAGCCCCTCTTGATCTTACATCATTTTCATCACACGCTCTCAACACTCCGACTTTTACTGCCAAGGTCACAACTCAGCATTACTTGACTTAAAGCTACCCTTGGGAAAACAAAATTGCAATCCCCCACATCACTCAACATGCCATCGCCCATTCGAGCAAAGCACTTGGTGCCAGGCGACAAGATCGCTTTCATCTCACCATCAGAACGAATCAACAGCACCCTCCCCGATGTCATAGACCGAGCGACAGCAGTCCTCACAAACAAGGGCTTTCAAGTTCAGACTTTCTTCAACAAAGATGAAGGAATTCAATCCTGCATCGAGAACCGTCTCTTCGAGATCCGGGCAGCGTTTTCAGACCCCAGCATCTCAGCCATCATCACCACTATCGGCGGCACAACTTTCACAGAACTTCTTCCCGCTCTGATCGCGGACAAAGAACTACATCAGATCATCCGGGCAAATCCTAAGGTCGTGGTGGGATACTCAGACATCACGGGCTTGCATTGGTTCTTGTATGCCATGATAGGTCTGCGCACTTTCTACGGCCCGGGTGCTGTTCCCGAAATCGGTGAGCCAAACGATATAAACGACAAAGATACGCCCCTGGAATTCTGCGTGGATAATCTGATGCGCGCTGTCGCGTCTCCTGAACCATTGGGTCAAATCCCACGGTCGAGATACTATGCCCCAAGGGGAGCACCTTTCTTTACGGATGCGACATTGACAGAACCACCAAGGGTTGTCAGTACAAGCGATTGGCAGTGGTTAAGACCTGGTAAAGCCCAGGGGCGATTGTTTGGAGGCTGTCTCACCGTCGTCGCCCGCCTAGGTGGTATTCAAGCGATAGTTCCGGACTGGCGCGGCCGAATCGTCTTCCTCGAGACGGCTACGAACGAAGACGCGTCGGGTGGGAATCCACCTCATCGTGTTCAAGCGGCTTTTGCGGATTTGATAGCCCAAGGTGTCTTTGAGGAAGCGGCAGGTCTGGTTGTGGGACGACCGTATGGGTACGACTCGGATGAGGAAAGAGAGACATATGCTGGTATCATCAAGGGTCTTTTCTGCGAGGGACGTCTTGCATCGAAGAACTTCCCCATCTTGTTTAACGTGGATATTGGACATACTGTGCCGATGGTTACGTTGCCTTATGATGCGTTGGCGGAACTTGACTCTGAGACTGGCACTTTTGCTGTCTTGGAAGCTGGGGTGGAGTGAAAGAGACGTAAGATGTAGACATATTTATCGTAGTATTAGCTCGCAAATCCATTATCTACCGCTCATATATATCCCAAGAATTTATATACATTAGTCATACATGGTATCGTTGTTTGGAAATCATCAAGTCGTAAATGAAACTCTCTTGACAGTGTCACCAATTGTGCTTCGATGACACCACCAAGTAAGCTTCAATGGCAATCAACCTCAACTTACGGCCCAGATCTGTGCCGTTTGTAGAGGTTATTTTAACAGAAATCGTCCTTGTCTCCGCCACGTTTTGGGTCTGCCAGGCTGTGATAAGCTTTCAGGCGCATCATCACACCCGGATCTCTCATAGTTCCTTCGTCCTTGGCTCATTGATAGACGAGCCGTACCCACGTCAAGACCAGTTCTAACTGTGCTGGCGCAGCAGACGGACCGCATACGTGTTCTGCCCTCAGGAGTGCTTGGTAATACGATGTGCCGTCACCTGACATTCTCAGAAGAGAGAACGAAGAGAGAACACCTTTTCCAACATATATAAGCGGCTCGGCCGGGTAGAGTCCCCTTGGGTGTGGCGAGGAACAGCGGGATGAGAGAAAGCGACGGTCGCATTTGCGATCCTAGGTGGTTGCCGTAGCATCCACATTCCAAGGTTGTTGGCTAATTTTGTTGTCGTGCCTCAACGCCTCCCTTGACCGTTTCCATTGAAGAGGCCACGTCGTTGGTCAAACCAATGAAGAAGGTTTGGTGTTTGTTTTGCGTTTGCGTTTGCTGGTTAAATCTAACCACGTTGCTCCGACCGAAGAAGGGCCACACCAGTGACAATAGTAAGTGTGAAGAAGACGGAGGTAGCTACGATTAATATGGCCGCGTATCGATCCCACTCGTCGCCATCATACTTTCGAAGATCTTTTGTCCAGTCGGGCATGTCGATAGTCCCTCCCTGTACGAGCCATGTCGAGACGAAGATCAAGAAGACGATGAGTGCAAATACAGCCTGCCAGATGCCAAAAAGGTTTCTCCCCACGGACGAAGTCCGGAAGCGTCTCATCATCTTGGAGTTAGACATGATGGCTGGGTAGTAAACAATAAAGATATATGGTAAACAGATAGATGGGAATTATGGTTACGACGCATGGTAGATGGCAAAATGAGGCACCGAATAACGGTGCAGAGCAGAGAAAGCGGTCCTGCAAGGTATTTAATCGACAGAGGCACTAACTCTGTAGGGCTCGGGGAATATTAAAGTGCCGGTTGACTGCCATCCCTTGGCTGGGAGATCATTTGACGTGACGTGGTGGTCTGATATAAGCGCTAGATCTGCGGGGGTGCTGAGACGGAGGCTTGCTTGACCTTGGAAATTCATGGTCGTCAGCCAACTGTGAACAAAGGCTGGGCTTGGGTAACATGGATCATGGCACTCAGCTGGACGACATCTCCAATCAGAAGGGCGCATTTCCCCGAAGGTCCCGAAACAATGACAAACGTTGCACACCTTATTTTCTCCAGATGCTCAAAGCTCCTCGTAAACTGCAAAAAGAGGAAAGACGCGGAAGCACGGGCTCAAACGGCTTCCGCGGATTGACGAGTCCGTTGATCTGTCATAGATCTGATCGGCCAAGACGTTTTGTCCAAGATGCTCTACTAGCGCGATTCTGACTTTGTCGCAAGTGCATTCACGAAAAGGAATAGAAAGTTGATTGCAATTATATTCTATCATCAAATTTAATCACCGGGCATGCCGGATCTTTTGCTGGTTCAGTGAAGCGGTGGCGTAAAAACAAAGACAAGAATTGCTTTGGGCCAAGGCGTTGTTCGTGTTCCACGAAAGACAAAGCACCAATTGAACATGTCTCTTCTTGGCTGGGCAGTGCTGCCCTGGGCATCCTTTGTAAGTTTCGCTGAACACAGCCCATTAAAAACCGGGTACATATTGTTAAAATAAATCACAAGAATTACATAAGCTCAAGCGAAAGCAGCTTGGCGCAGTGGAAGCGCGGTATGTTTATCTCAAAGTTCGAGATCTCATCAGGCACTAACCCCTCTCAGCCGGGCTCATAACCCGGAGGTCACTGGATCGAAACCAGTAGCTGCTATTGAAGCAATACTCTTTTTTTTTTTCTTTTCGCATTTTCTCACGTATAGAGGCCGTTTCTTTTTAATGCGCTTTTTCCATATTCTTAATTAATATTAATCGGTCTTCTGGGCTCATGTTGAAGCCCTTCTATTGCGTGCAAGAGGCCGGTAGTGTTTGGCGCACCACAAGTAAAATCTGAATCATCCACCTCCGGCAACGAGAGAGAAGTGCAAAAGGATACAACTGTCTCGGCCAAAGCCTCAGCACTTGCAGCCCCCCAGAATGAGAATCTTGTTGCAGATAATCATCTCTGCTTAATTTCCTTCTCCAACATGAGGACTTAGCACACAAACTGCTCAAATAGCGACGCGACTTGGATGTTGCGCGACTGATCGCGACTGAGCGTTTCCTTACCCTAAACCAGGTCATCGAATCTCGATTCACTCTATGACGATCATTTAATAGTGGAGCCGTTCCGAAGCTTATCCTCGTAATAAACCCGGTGCCAAGCGTCCAGTGACAGAAGACAAGCCCGACAAGCACTGTTTAAATTCGCTTCGAGCAAGCTAACTCTCAATTCTCCACCACTTCAACTGCAAACGGCGTTAACTGGCGTAGGCAATTCGAGATAGAGTTTTGTAACACGATTGCTGCCAAAATGTATTCCATAGACCACGGAATAATCGTGTACAAGATTCACCTCTTCTTTCGTTACCCGAGTCGCTGTCTCCTCGGCCGAAAGAACAATCTTAGCCGGACCCGAGCTGGTCACAATGATCGCATTTCTACGTCAAGACGTGTCATCACTCCTTTTATACCTCGGTTCCTGATGAAAAACAAAATTTGAGGCGCTAAGGCACTGTCTCATGGGGCACACAAACGGGTATCCCAATATCCGAAGCCAGGAGTTCGTAAGTTCGGATGAAAATTGCCGTGTATAAAGGAGAAATTGTCATGACCTATCACTTTATCCATGCCAGAAGCAGTGCCTGGAAAGATTTGTGACGCTTACATAGCTAAGCTTGAATGTGCTTAGCAAACTAAGATTTGCTTGAAAGTAAGCTTAACCATTGCATTCATCTCTAGCTACGCGTCCTGGTTGTTCCAAGGCCTTGGTATCATGTCCTCTTCGTATCCACTGTGCCCCAGTTCAAACTTCAGCTTTGTGAGGCTGGCGAGGGTTACATACAGATCACCAAATCCTTCTCCATTCTCCAAGCTTGTTTCTCAGCTCGACCCAAATAAACCAGGGCCTGCCCCCTCCTTCTGGGTCGGAACAAAAGATCTTGGTCAATTCTCCATCAAAGGATTGTCCAATTGACACCTGTGCTTTCTAATCCTGGGCAGTTGATCAGCCGTTGCATAGCTATATCGGGAGATAGCCCCTCGCTTGCTTGATGTTGACGGATGAATTACCGAAAATGTTTTAGTAAAATCAATAGTTTGCCCTTTCTTCCAACCAATAGTAAGTAACACGATTGATCGAAGACATTGATCTGGATCATATTGCATGAGTACGATTTCCAACAACTTGAAACGGTTTGTGTCACTACGTCAGATGCCATCATGGCAATTGCGTGGTAGAGTTGAGATAATGGAGAATAATGGGTACCGTAATCATACTGAGATGCCTATATAATGACCAACAAAAGCTGTTCTAGTAGTCAGATCAGAATTGCGAAGAGTACGGGTTCTCGAATAAGCTTGCCCATCCCATTGCCACCATGCGTTTCTCCCTCTTCGCCGCAGCGCTTTGCGCGCCCTCAGCCTTATCATTCCCCTGGCTAGCACCCGAGGGAATGGATGCCCTTATGAACCACCCCGAGGCACGTGCCGAGATCGACCGCCGGTTGAAAGAGCACCAGGCTGGTCAAGGTCAACAAGAAAAACGACACGAGTCCCGACAACTCAAGACTGGACTGGTCGGTGGCGTTGTGTCTCTACTTGGTGGCACTGTCGAGGCCGTCTTGGACAACGTTGTTGGACTCATTCCCACCAACAAGGCTGTCAAGGGCTTGCAGAAGTTCCCCGAGAAGTCCCATCCTTTCAAGGCCCCTGGAAAGACTGATCAGAGAGGTCCTTGCCCTGGCCTCAACACGTTAGCTAATCATGGATGTAAGTGATGAGAACGACATTGGGGGGCTGTTCTGACAAGCCGCAGATATTCCACGAAACGGTATCGCCACAATTGGTCAGATTCAAGCTGGAACGGCGAAAGTCTTCAATATGGGTGCCGACCTATCCGCTCTTCTCGCTGTCGGCGGTGCTGTTGATGGTGGCGATATTCTGTCTCAGAAGATGAGCATTGGTGGACCTGATGACCGTGTTGGTCTTCTCAACGGCGCTTTGAATAAGATCTTTGGAAAGCCATCAGGTATCGCAGGCCACGGTGAGCATCGATCTACCACAAAAATGCAACAATTACTGATAGTAACTCAGGCAAGTTCAATGAAGGTGACGCATCTGCCACTCGAGAAGACTTCTATCTCAACGGCGACAACATCTCCTTCCAACCTAAGCTCTTCAAGCAGCTTCACCAGCAGGCTCTAGCCAAGGGCGATGGTACCTATAACGTCGATGCGGTCAAGGAACACTTTAAGAACAGATACCGAGACTCCAAGGCGGTCAACAAGCAGTTTTACTTCAACGCCCCCAGTGCCTTTGTGGTGATGGGCGCATACTACTTTGTGCCCGGCTTCTTTTCCAATGGCACCATCGGTGCTGGTGGTATCGCCAACGAAGCTTCCATCACTTCGTTTTACGGCGCCAAGCCAGCCTCAACAAAGAAGGATGCGTGGAAGGACAAGGATCTTGACTACAGTCACGTTCCTGAACGTATCCCCGAGCAAGGCTGGTATCGTCGCGCTACACCAATGACTATCGTTGAGGCCGTCGGAGGAATTCTTGACGTCTACCTCTATGCTCTGCCAGCGTTGGGAGGATCTGGTGCTGATGGAAGCTGGGTAGTTGGCCCACTTGACCTTCCCAAGGATCCTCAGGGCTTGAGCTGTTTCATATACAACGCCATCTATGCCAACTTCCCTGCTGAGCTTTTCACCTCTGTCAAGCTTCTCCAATCGGTCCTCAATGGACTTTCTGAGACATTGGTGCCTGGATACAAGGCTTTGGGTTGTAAGGTGGATTTCCCTGATGCCAAAGGCTCTTCTGCAAGTAAGAAGTTTGCTGCTTATGAGAAGAAGTATGTTGGTCCTGCTAAGACCAAGGCTTTGGGTAGTGGTTGGTATGAGAAATAATGGGCCTTTTACGGAATTAGTTTTGCTATAATATCGAAGTATAGTATCATTTGATCGTCATTCGAGACAGCATCGTGATTCTGAACGTTCGTCTGCCAATCAGAAATCACGGAGCGACATCCCATCCTCGGTTCTCGTCCGTCAGCAAATAGGAGCAGACTCCGTTGACAATGATTGGGGGTTGAACCGCTGACATAAGGATGCATATGACGTATCTGTGGTTTCTCTCCTCTCTTCAAGTCACAATAAACAAAACCTCCTTCAACAATAACCAATACTGCCATTGTGAGATGGACTCAAAATACAAACCCATTCTGCCCCATCCGGGACAGCCACCAAGCAATACATCCACTATTAATGTCAATGTACAAGAGACCGATAGTAAGAAAAGACGACGGTCCATGCAGCACATCGCCTGTAATCGCTGTCGCACCAAAAAGATTAGTGTTAGTGAACCCTTCACAACGTGCTTGCTTACTTTTGTCTAATTGCTAGTGCAGTGCAATGGCGTAAAACCAAACTGCAAGCACTGCGAAAGAGCTGAGGTTCAATGTGAATACAGACATTTCCGGAGCTCTCGTTATCCAGAAGAGGAAGAGATTTTTAATCGTCTTAGAGATAGTGAAAAGAATGAGCAGGTTCAGTCCCAAGTCCTCAATCTCCTCCGATCGTTGCCTTTGGATAAAGCAACACAGATACTTCAACAGCTTCGAAATAATTCAGATTTGCCTACTGCTATTTCCTCAATACAGCAAAGCAGTAGTCTAACAGCACGTCCTTCAGATCTCCGCGTCGCTCGGGCCGTAGCTCCGCCGACAGGGTCTGCTACAGAGTTTGAGCTTACTGCACAGTTCAGCGCAGCATATCCAAGATTACCGCCACCAGACTTACAGGCATTGAGAGGATTGCTATGGCAGGGCAACGATAGCAATGCTGCTCCCGCTCTTAGTATGGTTCCAGGTCTTCTACCCTGCACATCACAAGACTCAAGCCAAACTGCTACTCCCTCAGCATCTAATGAGTATTGCGATAGCCGTCTTCAGAGTCTCCGGATTAGTTATTGGACTAAGATTCCCGTGTCAGATGAAATGGCTGCATATCTGATCTCCTTCTATATTGAAACTGATCACAATATTCTGGGACTCTTCGACGCTGATCTATTCCTTCAGGACCTTGTTGAATGTCGTCAAAGGTTCTGCTCGTCCTTTCTTGTCAGTGCCATATTATGTTACGCATGTGTGGGTATTCCATTAAACAACTATTGTACAACATGTATGCTAAAGGTAGTAGCAAAGTTATACAGTCATCAGACCTCAAACGAACGAAATACGTCTTGCCGCTTTCAGTGAAGCCGAGATGCTCTGGCAAGGAGAGCGATCTGGGAAGATGTCGCTCACTTCTTTGGCGGCTATTGGCATCTTTAGTGCCGCCTGTCTGAATGAGGGAAAAGATGTGCTTGGTCAAGAATTGGCCGCTTCACTGCGCCGAGAAGCTGATGGTCTGGGCCTTTGCGGTGATTCTGCCGATGATCTTAGCTCGAACAAGCTCTGCCTAGACTCATCAGAATGGGTGAGGGCAACCTCGCAGATTGCCTGGGGGGTATACGGCATGCTAACGTATGTGATCTTGAGCGAAAGTCGGAGCTGCCCTGATTGATTTGCTCGACTCTAGGATACATGTTATTTTCTATCGCCTCAAGCCGTTACGATTCCCTCCAAGATTCCCTCTCCCGGGAGAGCTCGGGACCACTCCGTCACCACTGCCG